GTACCAAGTTCAAGACAGTGCTGTACTCTTGAACAAAACATTGATTCTTTTCATCATGACAACCTCCCTCTGAGGTAGGTAATATTATTCTATTACTGCCACGTCACCAAAAAAGAAAACTGGGTCAGCAAATTTAAATCACTAGCCCAAAATAAAGTGAATAGAAAACTTAAAATTTAAAACTACATCAGTTTGGGCCAGTGGTGGTGAGATGGTTAAGGCAGCTGCATCCCACATGGCTAAGTGTACAGTCTGAGTCCTGGAAGCAGCTTGAAAAACAGGCTGGGCACATGTGTGTTTATGCCCAACACGCCAAAAGGAGAATGGAGAAGGGTTTGCACTGTGGTCATCCCCCCTGAAAGGGTGATTTCTCACTTTCTCTCTTTCTCTCTCTCTCTCTGTTTTTCTCTTCATGAACACACACATCCTACAGCAAAATCTGAAAGAGGGAAAACAAAAACTACATCAGTCTAACTCCAGAGCTCATGAACTTTCTTTTCCAGCAAAATATCTCCTGTGGCTGACATGACTGGCTGTCCATTCAACATCCACTTGCACCTTTTTCTTTACTAGCAGAACCATGATTTTGTATGGAGTGGCAGTAGGCCATCCCGGGTGATAGATCATAACCCAGGTAGGCCAGTCACGAGTGTTCCCACTTCCCTACCTCCGAGCCTCCCTTGCAGCTAGGACTAGCCATTTGACTGGATTCTGGCCAAGAAGACAAAATTAAATATCATCTGTGGGGTAGGAAGGAGGAGATGTCCCAGAAAAGCCTTTGCTTCTGAAGCAAAGGTATGAACCCTTTACTCTTTCACACTCACCCTGTCCCACCTTGAACCTGTAATATAACAGCTGAATATACAAAAGGGCAACAAAACCATAGGAAGAGTCACAAGAATTCCAATAGCTATCAGCCCTGATACTATTGAACTAAACTTGTTTTGTTTGTTTGCTTATTAAAGAATTGTTTTTATTTAATGTTATTTACTATTATTATTATTGCTGTTTTTAATTTGACCAGAGAGGGGAGGAAAAAAAAAAAGAGAAATAGAGAAAGTGAGAAAGCAAGCTGCCAGGGCCAGGACTTGAACTGCAGCAGGCCGTGAGGGAGTCCAGAGCTTTTAACTTCCATGCCACCTACTGGTCTGTTTGTTTTAATTTGCTCTAGGGTGTGTGTGCTTGCCAGAGACAACCAAAGAGAGAGGACAAGTAAGAAAACACTTTGGGGGGTGGAGGGCGGATGGCCAAAGTTCAATTACTTCTCCACTCTTCTCTCAGGATTTTGGACATGCATGCACACACGCCCAATGTGTTTTACAAGCCGATGGGTCCAGGACTGGAACAGCACATTCAGCCATGTGGGATCCAGCCACCTTAACCACCATGCCACAGGCTGACACAAAACATTTTGTGTTACTTGAGAAAGAGAAACTCTGAGACAGTAGATAGCATAATGGTTACATTGCTGGACTCCCACATACTCAACTGCAGTTCGAGTCCTGGACCCAGTGGCTTCAGCTCACATTGGGCACATGTGTGTGAATGCCCAAAATCCCAAGAGAAGACTGAAGGAGAAGTGCTTGTGCCATGGCCATCCTCTCTGGAGGGTTATTTCTTGCTTTCTGTCTGTCTCTCCAGCAAATGCACATGCCCTATAGCAAAAATCTCTCTAAAAAGAAACCCTTATATTTGACCCTTGAGCAACACAGGTTTGAGCTGTGCGGGTCCACTTATAAGCACTTTTTTTTTTTTCAATAAATGCTGTAAATGTATTTTCTCTTCCTAAAGATTTTCTTTTTTTTTGAAGATTTTACTTAACTTTATTTATTATTATTATTTCATTATTATTTTTCAGTTTGATCAGAGAGAGACAGAGAGAGAGAGAGAGGAAGTGAGAAAGCAAGCCACCAGGTCTGAGACTTGAACCATGGTCAGCCATGTGGGAGTCCAGCGCCTTCAACCACCATGCCACTTGCCGGCCCCAAGATTTTCTTAATGTTTTCTTTTCTTGGGGCCAGCAGGTGGCGTGGTGGTTAAGGTTGCTGAACTCCCACATGGCCAAACACATTCAAGTCATAGACCAAGTAGCTTACTTTCTCACTTTCCCTCTCTCTTGCTCTGTCCCTCTCTAGTCAAATTTAAATAAAGTTAAATAAAATAAGTCTCTTAAAAATATTTTCATTGCTCTAGATTAATGTGTTCTAAGACTCTAGTATACGATACAAATTACCTACAAAAAGTATGTTAATCAACTAATTATGTTATCTATAAGGCTTCCAGTTATCAGTAAGTTATTGTACTTAAGTTTGGGGGAAGTCAAAAGTTATATGCAGACTTTCTACTGTGTGTGTGTTGTGGGGGGAATCAATGCCCTTAATGCCCATGTTGTTCAAGGGTCAGCTGTATTTTCTTCACTGCTCTGGGTAAGTTCTTCCACTTCATGCAGCTGCACATTGCAAATGGACACACACTTGTCCCCCCTTATTATTTACTATTTGGACTTTATGATTATTCTACACATATATTATTAGCCTTCTCTCTCTACCCATGACGTATGCTTCTGGAAGGCCAAGTCCATGTTGCATACTTTTGTTTCTACAGGCATGTATGCCTCTTACTAAATGTTGCTGATTATCAAGGTTTTCAGGGATAGCCTATTTAATTTAATGCTTAGTGTCTGCAAGAGCAGAGTTTTCCCATTAGATAGCAGAAATATGACATCTAACTACTAATGGATTATTATTTCTCAAAGAGTCAATAATGAAAACATGCATCAGAAACATCTAGCTTAAAAAAAAATAGAAACATCTAGCTTAGTAAATGCAGATTCTGAGGCCCTTTCTCCAGGCACAAATTGAATGAGAATATCTGAGGTTAGAGGCTAAGAATTTGTATTTTGCCAAGCACCTTCATGTGGTTTTGAAACAGAAAATGTGACAACTGTTGAGATGGAAAAGTCTGGATCCAAACATGAGGTTTAGCAGGACTTGGCTGGACCCCAGTTTGCCAGCTCCTTCTCCAGGACCCCTCCTTAGCCCTGGGGATCTGGGAGGTCTAAATTGGCATAATTGCCCAAGATCATTCCCTGGTCAATATGGATAAAGTGACTGGTGTGTTCTGTGGCATACTGGGACCCAAAAATTATAAACAGATGTAGTCCCTGAAAAGAAAACTTGTCTCTGTCACCTGGACATCCAAAGCCTCCACCCCCCACCCTTGGTTTAAAAAGTAGACAACTATGTAAAAAGCATCTACTGCAACAATCACCACCATCCAGGGAGTTAGTAGAGGACTGAGCACATTTGCAAAGTAGAAAAGAGAACTCTGGAGAAATTTACACAGAAGCATTTGAGACTCCTGACTCAGAAGAGACCTCTTTGGGTTACCTATATATTTACTGCACACAGTTCTGGATGGAAGCTGCTCTTGGGCACTGTCCAGACAGAGACAGAAGGCTGGGCCAGGGCATCCCACACACTGTCTTCCAGCAGCAGCGTCCTAGCAGCTAGGCTGCTCCCCGAAGCTCCGAGAAAGCCAATACCTTTGCTTCCCAACACAATCCCCACTCCCCAAGTCCCCCTGACATTTATCTTATTTCGTTTCTAGAGATCATGTTCCCAGATGACAGGTGCACACAGACATGAACCCTAGAGTAGCAAACAGCATTTAACACACACACACACACACACACACACACACACACACTGCTTTCAAAGGGATGACCTCTTGCGTGTTGATATCTGGCCAAAATGAAAACCATAGCAGAAAAAGAAAGACCTGAAAGTGAATCAGAGAGAAGTGCTCATCCAGGCTAGACCAGGGGTAGGAGGGCTGCAAGATTCCCTAGGGATTAAAGAGTCCAACCCTTGGGAAACTAAGGGGCCAGAGATGCAGTGAGTCTTCAGCACCTCACACACCCACTCCACCAAAGGGGGAACCCCTTTGCTCCCAGTCTTACCGGGCAAACACCAGCCAAAGGGACAAGTTATATGTGCAGCTGGGCTGGTTTAAGAGAAGGAAGTGACCTGAGCCCTTCAGATGTCTTGAGCAATGTGGATACCCAGTGATTCTGTGGACACCAGGGCATCTTCTAAGGCTCTTGAAACCTTCCTCTCCCAACCAAACAGCTGTCAGAAGAAATGATCTCTGCCATCTTCTTTCTGAGTAACTTTGCATCCATCCCCCATCTTATCCCATCCCCTAAAAAACTGCTTCAAACTCCCCCTCAAGTTCTGTTGGAGAGAATGTTACAACAGCCAAAGATAACTCCTCCTCCCCGACCCCTTACCGCCCACAGTCCCACCAAGATCCAAGAGTATTTTCCCACACCACCTTGTGTGTGCTGATCCAAGCTTTTTTTTTTTCCTTTTTACACATTTAGGCCTGCCACAGCTCACTGCATCAAAATGATTTGGTTGGAAATGGGTAGCTCAGTGGGGATTTTTTTTTTTTTAATCTTGCTTCCTGACATATCACTGGAAAAAAAAAAAAAGAAAAGAAATCCAAGAAGCCAAAGGAAGACTGGGAAGGAGATGGAGAGAAGAGGTCTCCATTTATCAACAGCCCTATGGGGAGCAAAAACCACCTTTTGACCACCTGCAGAATGCGCAAGGTCACGTGGCTTCTCTGCAGCTCCTTCATGTATTACCCAGCACACGAGAGCCCCCGTGGCTTATAAACAAATCCGCCAGCAGAAAAAAAAGGAGAGAACTCCCTCTTAAGAGAAAGCGACTGCTAATGGTACCGGCGGCAACAATAATAATAAATAAAGAACAACAATCACTACTACTACTATCACCACCCAGCCAAGTACAGACGACAGCAGCACAGTGAAGGGACGCCCAGCGCAGGCTTTGCAAGAAGATAAATCACAGACAACCAAGTCATGCCCACCTGGCTTACCGGCCTCCCCAACCCCCAACAGAGTCAGAGGAAAGGGGGATGGAGGCGAGGAAGGGGAGGAAGGACGGAGAGCAGAGCTCGTAGGTAACACCTACCTCCAGGGTCCGGATTTCTTTCTGTGTGAGGTCGTTGGAGGTAGCACATTTGGTCCTAAGTCCTTCCAGGTTTGAGATGCTCAAGTCTATCATGTTTTGAACCAGCTCGCACTGCTGTAGGGCTTTTTGCAAACTCAGAGGCTGCTGCTCCTCGCTTTTCGTCATGTTTTCCTCATCCATCGCTTGCTCTGCAACCCCCCTTCCCCTCCTCCTCCTCCCAGAGAGAAAAAAGGGGGGCGGGGGGGGAGTAGAGGTAGTCTACCCACTACGCCTCTCCAACCACTGCGACTTCTCACCAATGTCTCGTGAAGAAGAAACCCAACATCTCACACGGGGTTGAGGGGAGGGGGTGGGAGGAGGGGACGAGAGTCAAAATTTATTATTTGATATTGGGGTGATCAAGCAGACTCCATTAGAATGTCCCCTCTCTCTGAGTCTCTGGTCCCTGAAAAGGAGAGATGCTGTTTCTCAGAAGCAAACCAGGTGATGTGATGCTGTCTGTACACTTAGGGAGGAGGAGGAGGGAGAGGAGGAGGAGGAGGCGGCAGAGGAGGAGGCAGAGGAGGAGGAGAAGGAAAACAGCGCTCACTCTTTACACACCGGCTCCGTGAAGGGTGAAATTATATATATTTGGCTGGCTTGCTTTTATGTCAAAAAAAATCTGGCTTGCCCCCCTCCCCGCTGCAGCGACGCGGCATGGTCCACGGCTCGGAGTGCTTTAGCGCGTTCTCAGGCCGCTGTCCGCATTGCTCCCGCGGCTG